GTATTTTTAAAGACAAAAGCTTCATTAACCATTTTATAAAAAAATATCCACAGAGAAGGGGCTTTATATATATATATATATATATNTTGATGTTATTTATTGTATTGTATGGTATTATTATTATTATTATTATTATAATATTTATTTTGATTGTTACTTAAATTTTATTGTATCGTATTATTAAATCTGCATACGTAACGATAAAAAATATCACTTTATGTAACGACCTATTTGGTCATGTGATCGCGTCGTTACCTTACTTTTTTCTCTCACCTTGCATTTCTTTATCATTAAATAAACTATATTATTAATTACACTACCGTTTTACATAATAATTTCAACCCCGTATCCTATATTTTTTATTTATAATATTGGAGTATAAGTTTATTTTTCATATTGCTTGTGCATCACATCATGAAACAACGACAAACAGTACAATCTTTCTAAATGATGTATTCATCAAAATAATGCAATACAATATAATATAATACAATACATTATGAAATAACACATAGAAATCATCTAAACAAGTTATTATTTGACGATATCTTAAATCATAAATTAATATTTTAAATACATATTCTCACAGTATAAAACAAATTTCAATCAATCAATGTAATTTGATCATATTATATCAAAAATTTCATGTTAATTTTACTCGATTTTCTTTCTAAATAATCTAATTATATGGATATTCTCTATATTATCCGTGCACAAAACTTGGACTCAAATTATTTTTATTTAACAAAAACCTTAACCCTAAAATCCTGACTAGAGTTCATAACAGCAGAGCCTACACGTGAATTATGACTCATTTTTAGCTGTTCATTCACACTAATGCATTATATACCATTACCAACAGACATACACCTACAGTATATCTGTATTTGTAATAAACAATAATTATTTTTAAAAATTATATTATAATATTAATAATTTCCTTCTAGGAACCTTCCTTTTTTTTCCTTCTCCTCTTCTTATATATTTCCTCTTCACAGTCTCTTCTCTATTCACTTTTGAACCAAAAAATCTCTCTTTCTTCCTTTGTAAAATCACAAAAGAGAAACAAAGCTTTGCAAAAATGGCCTCTTATTTCAAAGTTATGCTTTTCTTAGCCTTTTTTGCTGCTTCATGTTTAGCTCAATCTCCAGTTCCTGCACCTAAAATTTCTCCGGCGGCAACACCTACTCCGGTGCCGGCGCCAGCACTGTCTCCGCCGACAGCAATCCCATCTCCGGCACCAACAACTTCACCAACTCCATCACCATCTGCTTCTACAACTTCCCCATCACCAGCTCCGGCCGGTGGTCTCGCCGGTTCTCCTCCCGCGCCTACTCCGGCTGGTGGACCCGGTGCTTCACCGGCGGAACAGCCCTCCGCCGACAACACACCGCCACCAAACGCCGCTAACAGGGCCGTCATTGGCGGTGCTGCATTTGCTGGTGTACTCATTGCTGCTGCTTTCATGTAGAGCTGCCACGTGTCATCACACGTGTCTTGACGGACCGAGATTTGTTTTGTATCTTTGTTGGGGTTGAGTAGTACTTATCTCTTCTTTCTTTTTTTGTCTTTTATTTTGTTTATTTTACTTTATATTTTTGTCATTTATTTGTTTGGTACATTGTGGTGTTTTTATTTCTTTTTTCATTTTTTGTTAGGGTGAGTCATTCATATTTGGTGGGTGATGATTCTTTTGTTTTAACAGGTTTATTTATTGTACGGAATCATCATCCCATGTACATTCAAGTAAAAATAAATTTGAGTTTATATTCTTTTTGTTATATATTGATTACTTATCTTCCATCTCTAAGTGCTTAGAATTTCTCTTTTACTTAGTGAATTAATCTAAACCTAAAATATAAGGGCGAGTTAATCTTAGATCTTATTAGAGAGGATTAAATGTTTCTATGCAATTGCATGTTGGGAGAATTTAAAAGGACTATGTTTTTGAGTAATTTTAATCGAATTTGTGAAAAGTTTATGTAACTTTTTATTAGCAAAGTATGCTAGGTCATTTATTTTATCTTAAAATTGTAAAGGGCCGTGTTAAAATAACGCGTAACGTAGAAACATAAAGAAATTATCCCACAACCTTAAAGTTTAACAAATTCTTTAAAATATAGCAGGGTTTTCATGAAAATAAAGATGAAATTCCTACTCCCTCGAGCTTTTCTTTACGAAACTAAAAGATAATTATTAAGATTCGGTACTTTGAAAATTAGGCAATATTTAACATTATTTTAATCTCTTTGTGTTAAAGGCCACGCCAAGAGCGGAGTTATATAATATTATGTACTAATTCAGACGAATTTATGATTTTTTTTTTAATTTTTTATAGAGTTTTATTTAATTGTTTCTCAAATAATTGTATTTTTCTTCGCTAGAAATGAAGATAATCATAATTTGGGGGTAATTATGGGTCAATCGTAGACTTTGGGATGGGTGGAAGCCAGATGTTAGCAAACCTTGCACATGAAGCGTCGATGATTGCTAAAAAAATATTTAAAGGCTTTTGTTTGTTTCCTAATAAACTAATGCAAGTTGGTGTTTTTAGTGGGATGTCATTTTCAAAAGAAGATTATAAAAAATAGTCTTGAATCTCACAAGTCCATTTCTATTAGTAATTAATTAGTTTAGTAAATTATGAAAAAAAGAGTACTCGTTTGATTCGTTGTTTGGTTTTCCTTATGAACAAAAGTTGGTTACACTAAATTATTATTCGGAAAGAGAGAGGAAGGTTAAAACGTACATGTTTGGTGAAATGGTGCGAACATTTTTTTATATTATAAAAGAAAAAAAGGGAAAATGGTAGAAACTTGCAACTGATGGTGTACAAAAATTTTATCAGCTCCTAAAGTTTCAACGTCATCCTTCATAAAAAAATAAAAAGCTTTCTATATATTCGGTCCAAACAACTTTGCTAGTAAGAAAGATTATTAAGTTTGATAGTGTTTAAGAAAATGGATATTGAACTAATTCAATCTCAAAAGTTAGATTACAAAATAGCATTTCTAGAATTACTAGATACTTACGCCCGGTGCAATGCACGGGCCCAACGTAATAAAACTATTTTAGTAAAATTTGTTTTGCAGAAAACCATTAAGATATGCAACCACAAAAATTAAAGAGAATCAACTTGCTCCAAATTATGAGTTTGTTTTCTATGTAAGGGATATTTCCAACCCAAAGCAACTTCCAATTAAATGCCAACCCAAATCAAAAGATACAAAATCTTAGCATAAGCCAAACAAGGTCCCAAAAATGATAAAAAAGAATGAAACTTTGTTCGAAGAAGCTCTTCTGTTCTACAAACTATCATTTTCATCTCTTGAATCTCACTAACTCTTCTTGGTAAGTTCAATAAACTAAGAGTTCCATGTTAGTCCTTGAGAGAAGGACTTTGTATAAAAAAAAATAAAAGAATGGCTCACTTGTTCACTAATCGAAGTACACAAATCTTCACCCGCAGTAAAGAAGTAGCAAATTTAGAGGGAGGAAAGAGGAATCTTAAATAATGAGATAGCCTTCTAAAACATAGAGAAAAGAAAAGGAATCCTAAGTGATCTTACAAAGGCACCCACATTTCACATTATCCTTTCATAAGATGAATGAATTTTTACTATATATAAGTGAGAAGAACACAACTACAAAAGTAGTACTGTGTGCTATATGTGCAAAAATGTAACTTAAAGCACAAACACGATAAACTACTTGAATATCAAAGAACATAAAGCGATAAAACTCCCATTTAAACATCTCTGGATTCTTTCGTTCCGCAAAGTAGGACCGTGCATAATTTGGTAAATATCGAATTATCATATCCAAATTGAAAATTTTGGTATTTGGTATTCGATATGATATTTGGTTTAAATTTTAAAAAAGTTGGGATTAAGTATGGTATTTGGTATTTTAAAATAAAATACCGAAACTGTACCGAAATATATATACTATATTATACAATACACATATTATTAATTAAGTTTATAAATTAACTCTAAGCAAACAACAAGACATTTCTAAGGATCAAATTTATTCTTTTATGTGTAATTTTCTCTCTCTAGTTGATATTTATTGGTTTTTGACAAAACTTTTGTCGGCAAATGTTTTTAGTTTTGTATTTTTGAGTATTTTAATTAAAAATATTATAGTCTATGGCTCTTGCACTAGTTAGTATTTAAACCGAATAAACCGAAATCGAAAGGAGAAAAAGCGAATCATACCGAATTTAATTAGGTGCATTATTGATACAGTATTTTAAGAAATCGAATACCAAAAATATGGAAACGAAATATTTAAATAACGTACCGTACCTACCGATGAACCTCTGCCTCAAAGTGGGCGGAACAAAAGGTTTTCAAATTCTATTCCCAATGCAAAATTACATGGTAGACAAAACTGTAAGACATTTGATGTATCGAATCATCTTAAGACATGAAATGGGGCTGCTACATCAATTTTCCTATCTTACAAAGTAGGGTCAAATTTATGTATAAAAAGATCGTTTGTTTCGATATTTTTTAATTATTATAGTAAAATATTATTATAAAAAAAATATATATTATAACATAATATAAAAATTAATTTTAAGAAAAATTTAACTTTTATAGTAAATGACTATTATATAGAGATATTATTATATAGAGTTCTCAATATACTTTTTAAAAAAAACAATCATTGGAAAAGAAGGGAGAAACTTGTATGGATTTTCATAGTTCTTAAAGAGCTTTTGGCAGTAGAAGCCTTAAGTTTCGTGTATATTTGTAGTGAAATACAATTTTACTATTATTTACATTTAGAAGTGAGAGTTAAGCTGTACCAACGCGGTACGAACAGGGGTAAATTCGGGATTTCAAAATATTTATTTGCTTTATGTTTTGTCAACTATGCCCCTGCCCTCTATGATTTAAAGCTTTGTCAATTGTGGGCTTAATGGTAATTTTATTCTTTCTACGTTTATATTGGGCCCTCACTATTCCAGAAGCAACTCATTCTGACCGTCTTCTTTGTTCAGTTCTCTGCCTCTATTGATTTTGCTTGCATTGCTCTTTCACTTCCTATTGAGCCTTCACTATTTTCATCAGAGAATTTTTTGTTTCTTTGCTCAGTTCTCCAGCGGGTTCTTCTTCTTCTTGCTCTTTATTTTTTGCTTCGTTTTTGGTGGATTTCATTGGTGAATTTTCGATTTCCTCTATTTTTTAGGCCATGTGTATGTTTCAATCTTCAATGTAAATTTTCAAGGTTTAGTGATTTGTGATTTTGACTGAATCGTAATTTGGGTTGCATGTGTTCTCTATGTCTTGATATGAATAGTGAGAGTTAGCTTACCGTGGTTTGCACCTACAAATTTGGTCTTGATCCTTTTGTACCTTTTAATTGCTAATGGGATCTGTAGTCAAACGATTTCTTTTCAATATGCCTTAATTTCTCAATTTTTCAGTTTCATGTTATCTTTGGTATGTGCATTATAGTTGTGATGATTTTTTTTTTTTTTTTTTTTTTTTTTTTTTTTGGGTGGTAGTTCTTGCTTCTTCTTTTCTTAAATGCATTCTGTTCGTGTGGATATTTTTAAAATTAATTTATGCGACCAACGTGTTTGACGAATTTCCTTAGCAAAAGGAAGACTTGTGTGTGCTAGGCTGATGAAGCTGAATTATGGCTTCGCTCTGTTTACTGTGCCTGTGCTTCTTTTCTTTTCCCTCAATATTCTGCCCCTGTGTCGACAAGGGGTTACCACATAAGTGTTTCTAGAATTACTTTAATTTTTGTGGTTATTTTGTAATGGTATTTCAACTGCTTGCATGTGTAATTCTGCAGTAGCAATATTACTATTTCTCTAACTTTTGTTGACATGAAAAATTAGATGACTTATAGTTTTCAAATTGAGTAGATACTTTTCCCTGTGATATCTTTTTCATTTAAAAATTTTCAAGAAAAAAATTGATAAATGTTTGTATGTTAGGGAGTCATGCTGTGAGGTGATCTATTTTCCTTGTGACGTCTTTCAACTTCCAGGTAATTTATTGAGGAAGAATTGGTGTAAGTTATCGAATTCCTTAATGTTGTTGTGAAATTGGCAGTGAAATTAAAGGTTCAAACTCAAGGTAAGTTTTTCTGTACTACATTTGAGAAAATATGGCCATAGCAAGCTGAGGAAGGTGACAAAAAAAAATATAAGTTGCAAATTCAGAATAATGAGCAAGGCAAAAGATTTGATTTTAGCTTCCCCAATTTCCAAGCCCTTCAGGTGCAATTCCACATTTTTTACAGAACCTTAAAATTTTGGGTCGCTTTTTCTTGAAAAATGAATTTCAGTGTTCTGCTTTGTCTATTGTATCAAGCAGTTGTTCATGGATAAAAACTGCAACTTTAGTATTGGATACAAGAACAAAACTTAGAAAATACTTCACCTCTACATTTAATTTTTGTAACTGACGCAACTTTCTTCTAATATTTTTAATATCTCAATTGCAAGAGAGAGGGAAGCAATAACTTGCCAAAATGGTTGTTATCATACTCATAATAATTGTTACTCTGGAATTGGGGAGGATGATCATACAAGTATAGGGTGACTTATGCTGCTTGAGATCAATTAGGTGATCTATATACTCATATAATATCATGCAATATGACTAAACTCTACTTTAGAGTTCCTGTAGTGTGTGGCTTTTCCCTCTGGATGTTGATTCCTTAATATGGCACTATGTGTGATTCTTTGAGGATCATGAGGTTGAATGTAAACAGAATAGTTTATGTAGTTTATTCAAAGAGTAAATCAGAACCATTTTAACTGCATTGGGTAGTTCCTGAAAGCTTTTAGCTCAACCACAATATTTTTGCAAGGTATTGCGCACATCCATCTATTCTTTTTATAGTCAAGTGGAAAGGAGAACATGATCCTTTTGTAATCTAATTTTCTTTTGCCTTACAGGAACATGATGGGCTAATTGTTTGAACGACAATTATGTTTTGCAAGTAAGACAGCAAGTAAGATATTAACCGGGCACTATATCAGGTGAGAGAAGGGACCAACATATATTTTAAGTATCTAGCACTATTTATTTCGGACTCTCATATCCTTGTGAACATCTTTCAGACAAATGCAAGGATTGTTTCAAAGAAATAAGCATATAACCTTGAAATCATCTTGGGTTATTTTTTTGTAACCTGAAGACATTAGGTTATTTCTCCTAGACATGAACCTATTTTTTACATGGTCAGCTCTATGTAGACCTATCATGACGAAAAGTTTCCATTGTTTGAACCTATGGATTCGATCACCTACAACAGATAATGATGATGATCATTTGACGTACAATATCGTTTATAATAAAATTATTCATAAAGCCTTTTCATAGATAGATCCCTTGGATGGGCCCAGATTCTGCTGATGTCCCATGGTTCCTTATTCATATTTCATAGAAGGTTGACTCCAACTTGGTACAGTGATAGCAGTTGCTCCATTTTTACTGTTGAGGTATTTTACTTCTATTTGTTATATTATCATCTTAATTTACCTTGTGCATAATTCGAATTGCGAAGGATTTTGTAAATTTCTTCTGAATGTAAGTTGGTCTTCCAGAAGTTTTTGATACACGAAGTTCACCAATAAATTATGAGATAAAATCTGAAGTAACCACTAGATTTAGTTCGCAAACACACAGTCCACTTTTTACTGTCGTACCTCAATCTGATTGAGTGTAGCCCATATATACATAGGTTTGTTTAAGAATACATGGGTATAACTTTCAGTGCTTTCTATCTTGTTCCTCGGTTTTGCCTGAGATTTGAAGCTACTTTCATTTGTTACCTTTGTGTATTTCTCCTTCACACCCGATTTTTTCTTTTTAGAGTTTTTGCCCCAAGATGCAATGAAGGCATATTGATTTGGTCGCATATTGATTTGGTGTTTTTCTCTGTATGTTGTGGTAAAGTATCATTAATACTATTGATATGGATTTGCATTATCCTGAAATATTGTGTGTCCTTATATTAAATTTGGTAACCACTGTGTGCATCAATTAAAATCTGCTAACTCTCATGACTTACTTCTAAATCCCCTTCCTTTTAATTCAAACACAATGTTTTTAGGTTAACTATGTTCTTGAGGCCCTCTTTGTACTACATCCCCATTGTCTCTATCTTTTCATATTAGCTAATTTTATTGGATGGTAATAATGATTGACAGAGATGTTATACGTGAAATGTTGAGTAGAACGGAGGATCGTTCCAGCATATAAATTGGAGACATGACATATTGGATTCTGCAAGAAATGTGCTCGAGAAGAAGCAGCTAAATGAATCTATCTTTTAATCACATTGCATTATTTAATTCTAATAGAAGAGTACGCAAAACAGGCTATCTCTTAATTCATTCCTTTACTTGAAAACTGTTGCGCCAAATTAATATAAGAGTAGTATTTTCTCAGGGATGCCCTTATAGCGCTGTAGATTGCTGTGCAATATAATTACGGAAAAGATTCGCCGCTTCTGACATGCTTCACCCATCTTGCTGCTTTTTATTTCCACTATAAAAAAATATAAGAATCTAGAAAAGACAACTTCTTTCTATTTTAATTTAAAAAAAAAATATTGTCTAAATGAAATGAACTTCTACTTGAAACTGAAGCCATAAAAATAATGCATGTTCCTTCTAAACAAATAAACAGAATGAGAAAACCAAGTGCAAAAGTGGAAGCCTAGAAAGAGAGTAGCACACACAAAAGAAATTTAAGAAGTCTTTATGAAGTAGTTTATATATTTATTGCCTGATGAAAATTCGAATTGCCTTTTCAATTCTTTAGCCATACTGCAAATCACCTCAGATTAAAATAAAGCACATGCATACAAGTATATGAATCTCTTGAAAATATTAGCAAATAGCATAAATATACTAAAGTTTGAACCCAGGAAACTTAAAAACGAGGTTCTTAGCGAGCAACATACCTCCTGCAATAGGTGTAACATTAAAGAGTGAGCTTGTAAATGTTTTTTGATCTGCTTTAACTTTTCCAACTCTTGCTTCTGTTTTCTTAGGTTTTCGGATTATGTCCAACATTGTGAAATCTGAGTCAACTCACCAAAAGATATTGCTTCGGGTGAGGCATTCTAATATCAATATTTCTTACCAAGGCACGAAATATGCACATACACACATTATATATATCATAAAGTTATTTCCAGTTAAAAGAGAAATAGAAGTGAAGTTTAAAAGAAGTAAGAAAAGCTAAACCACGAAACTAGTTCTTTTATGTAATTGAAGGCATCATAATTGGGCAATATTATAGAATTAGAGCACATTTGCTCTCATATAGTTTTTGAAGGATATGGAAGCCTAACATTTAGTTCCATGGAAAAGTAGAACTCAAGGGATAAAACTGTAACGACCCGATCGGTCGTTTTGAATATTATAACCCAATTTTCCTATTTACTGCTCAATTTATGCCTTACTATTGATTTATGACTTATCGGGTTAGTTGGTTCGGGTCCGGAAGGAATTCGGAGTGAAATGAGATACTTAGTCTCATAATTGAAAAAAAAATTAAGTTAGAAAAGTGGACCAAATATGGACCTATGTGTAAACAACCTCGGATTCGAATTTTGATAATTCCAATAGCTCCATATGGTGATTTCGGACTTAGGAGCGTGTTCGGAAGAATTTTTGGAGGTCCGTAGAGGAATTAGACTTGAAATGCCGAAAGTTGAATTTTTGGGAAGTTTGACCGAGGGGTTGACTTTTTGATATCAGGGTCGAAATCCGATGCTGAAAATTTTAATAGGTATGTTATGTCATTTATGACTTGTGTGCAAAATTTGAGGTCAATCGAACGTGATTTGATAGGTTTCGGCGTTATTTGTAGAAATTAGAAATTTCAAAGTTCAATAGGCTTGAATTGGGGCGTAATTCATGGTTTTAGCATTGTTTGAGGTGACTCGTATAATGTTTTATGACTTGTTGGTATATTTGGTTGAGGTCCCGAGGGTGTCGGGTGAGTTTCGGATGGTTAACGGATCAAAAAACTGAACTACAACAGCTGCTGCAATTCCCTTCTGTTGGAAATTTCTTCTGCCAGAAATCTCTTAGAATCGAGCCTAGATGTGAGCCCAGATCGAGCCCAGGATCGAGGGCCACAATCGAAGCCATGATCGAGCCTAGGGTCGAGGGCCACGATCGAAGGCAGGGTCGAAGACATGATCGAGTCCCAGGATCGAGGACCTCGATCGAAGGCCAAGATTGAAGGCGAAGATCGAGGCAAAACCGAGGTTGTCTGTGCAGAATTATAAAAACAGGGACTTTGTCCCATTCTCCAGTTTTGACAAATTGGAGCTTGAGGAGAAGCGATTTTGATATATTTTCAAGGAAAACTTGAGGCAAGTCCCTTGTGATCATTTCTACTCCATAATATTGAAGTATCATCGAATAATCCGACTAGATTACATGATTTTGAGGTGTAAATCGGAGATTGGAACTTAGAAATTTGAAAATAAGATTTGTAGATTTGAGGGTCGAGTTGAGGTCGGATTTTGGTAAAATTGGTATGAGTAGACTCGTGATTGAATGAGTTTTCGGATTTTGTAACTTTTGTCGGATTCCGAGATGTGGGCCCCACATGCGATTTTTGAGCTAAATTTCGGATTTTTATGAACAATTAGTATTTTCTTATGGAATTAATTCCAATAAGTTTTATTGACTGAAACGAATTATTTGTGACTAGATTCGAGGCATTCAGAGGCCGATTTGTGAGGTAAAAGCATAGCAGAGTAAAGAGTTTCACGTTTTGAGGTAAGTAACAGTTTAAAATCTGGTCCTGAGGGTATTAAACCCCAGATTTTGGTATCATGTGATTATTTTAGAGGTGACGCACATGTTAGGTGACGGGCGTGTGGGCGTGCACCGAGAGGATTGTGACTTGGTCCATCCCGGGACACTGTAAAGTTGAATAATTTGTTGTTAGCTATATGCTCTCTATGTGTTGATAAAAATTTGACTGTAAATCATGTTAGAAATCATGCTTAGGCTATGTGATAGTACTGTTGGGACCTACAGAGGTCGCGTACTTGTTGAATTGCCTGCTAAATGCTATATGTACTGAGTCTCAATTTTTACTTGCACATTTTATCTTAGTCTCTGTTATTATTATTGATACATTATATCATTGTTGTTTGGGTTGATTTCATGATTAATGAGAGCCCGAGAGACTGGAGAGATTTATGACTGAGAGAGGCCGAGGGCCTGATTATGAGATATTGATATCATAGCACGTGAGTTGTCCGTGCAGCACATGAGTTGGCCGTGCAGATCCTTATATTATATTATAGCACGTGAGTTGGCCGTGCGGATCCTTATATTATACTATAGCACGTAAGTTGGTCGTGCGGATTCAGATATTTATATTATGGCAAGTGAGTTGTCCGTGCAGATTATAGCGTTTGGGCTGTAGGAGCCCCTCCGGAGTCTGTACACCCCCAGTGAGTGCGGGTACCCATTGAGAGTAAGTGATAGGGGCTGGGAGCCTGGGGAGTGATGAGGGCTGGGAGCGCAGTGAGTGATTGTTGTCCTAAGAGGTTGTACTTGACTTCCATTTGTTGTTGCACTTAGTTGCTATATGTCATTGTTGTGAAATCTCTGAAAGATTGTTGATATACGGATTACATGAACAGGAACTGTATAAAAATTGATTTGACATTAAACTGTCAGATTTGATAGCATGTCTATTCTTTGCTGAAATTACTGAAAATGAACCATAACTGTGTAGCTCATTACTATCTTCAGTTCCTTATTTATTATTGTTACTTGCTGAGTTGCTTGTACTCATACTACACCCTGCACTTCGTGTGCAGATCCAGGTGTTCCCGGATATAGCGGGTGTTGATCCTTTCGAGTGGTTGATTTTCAGGAGATTTTGAGGTAGCTGCCGTGATCCGCAGACCTTGCCTCTCCTTCTCTATCTCTTTGTTTACTGTATTTGGTCTCAGACTATTATAGACTATATTTTTCAAACTTGTATTCATATTAGATGCTCATGTACTCAGTGACACCAGGTTTTGAGGAGTGTTTGTATTGTATTTAAATATTATATTTTCAACCTTAAAGAGAAGTTTTGGTTATTGAGATTTTCGGTTTGCCTAATATCGAGATAGGCGCCATCACAACAGGTTAGAATTTTGGGTCATGACAAAAACTACAGAGCATTTAGCAAAATAAACATAAAAAAAATTATCAAATTCTTGAAATTTAAAAAAAATTATTAGAGTGTTCTCAAATGACAGTAAATAATATTGTAATACAACAATGTGTCTGTTTGTAAACTGATTATATCGGAACATCCATACATCTTTGACTATTATGAGAAGCCCTTATGGATTAGGATTAGTGCATGAGAAAAAAAGAATATTATTTATACAGGAGGACCAAATGATATACTTATCAACGTTTGTTTGTGTTACAACCCATGTTTTCATACGTACGAGTACGTCGTAAGTCAATTGATGTAAGCTCAAAACTAAAATCATATTTGAAAAGTTTACAAAGTAAGTTAATCATATTACCTCGGAGGTTACAAATATTGAAGATCATGAACAATAAGTACAAAGATGGTTGGAAGATTCAAAAGCTAAAGGAATTGAAAAACATAATGTTTCGTCGAAAATCGACAAATTGGGAATGTTATAGCATGTACTTTTGGAGTGAGACTAGGGTGTTTAACATGATAAGGAGGCTATATTATGATTTATGTTAGTCGTATGATAGTCGTGTGTTATATTTTGAAGTCAAGCGAGTGGTGGAACAAAAGTCGATGAAAGTCATCACAAGTTACGTTCATAAGTTTTACTAAAACATTGGGTCCAATGTAACTGACATTTTCTCCCAATATACGTAGAGTTATGGGGTGTTCCACCCATCAAATTAAAGATATATGAGTTTATTTTCTAACTCATTAAACCGTTTATCAATACGACATCTAAGTAGAGAGATATGAGAGTTTTTCCTAGACTGCGCATACTGTCACCTACTTGCTTAAACGAAAATCCAAAAATAGGCCTCTTCGGGTCGTCCAAAAATGGGCCAGTTCGGGTCATTCAAAGAGGACTTTTTAAAGTCTTATTCCCTTCATATATTAGGTTGATAATAGAGAAAAATAACCAGACTTAATCTCTGCAAAACTCCTCCAAAAAATTTCCCCCAAACCCCAATTGATTTTCTCTCCCTTTCAAGTTCTAATTGGAGGTAAAGCCTAGAATTTGAAGAACCAAGATAGGAGCTGAGTTATCCAAAAAATAAGGTAAGTTTACTGCTCTCTTTCATACATTTTTTTCTGCTGTATATGCATAGTAAGTCGTTCTATATTTGTAAGAACTCACGGGACTGTGATCAGAAGCCGTGAGTTTGAGTTATTCACTTGTAGTGGACTGTTTTATGGACTATTTTGTGGTGCTGTTGGGCAGCGTATTTTACTACTGTTTTGTGGAGTTTTGGAGGAGTAAGAGTGTGGA